TTGTTGCTCTGTGGGCATTGTGATAGATACTGTCATGACCTCATCAGACGTTTTTGCCAAAGGTGAGTAAGGAGGACTTAGAAAGCTTCTGGGTGTGGGTCAGAGCCAGAGTCAAAGTCACTCAAAATCAACACATTTTATTTTAAAAGAAAAATAAGCTCAATCGAGTAGTTTCGGAACAAGGCACCAAGCCAGCTCAACGACCTTTTTGTCCAACCCCATTCGTGGTGTGTTGCTTTAAGGTGAAGCATATATGATATTAACAGCCTATGTTGGTCCTGCTCTTTTGTTCCACTTATTGAGGTCTTGTTTGGTTGCACTCGTGTTCACCTCAAGGCTTGTTTGATGCACTCTAATCCACATGGGTTGGGAGAAATTAAGGTGGCTCATTCCATGTGTGTCAGGTGGATTGGGGGTGAAAAGTTAGATAATTATTATCTATCCCGACACATGTGAAACGAGGTGGATAAGAGTGTAACCAAATAAGGTTTTAAGTGGTCAAATTTTTCACCTCCTCTTTTTGTGTGTTGTTCACTGATGTTGCCCCATAGTGTTGCCGCCATCGCCTACATCTCGCCTGGTTGCCATTGCCTGCCTGACTCTGTGACATCCCGCTCAGCCACCCGGCCCATGGAATTGCTCTTCTTAAGCTGGACTCGCTATGATTTAGTTTTTTTTTAAATCTTAGGGTCCATTTGGATGTAGATATTGAAGGTGCTAGAGTTGAATTGGGTTCGTACCAAATCAGCCTTGGTACTGAAATTATGCACAATACAATTTTTGTTGTTTGGATGTACATTGAATTGGGTATTGGAATTTAGGAGGGCGCGGATGTGAGGAAGAAATGGAGTCAGGCCAAGGCGAAGAGCGTATCAGGCACCGGCCGAGGGGAGGAGAGAGAGGGGCACTAGGCACCGACCATGGTGAAGAAGGGGCACTGCGTTGGAGCGTCGCGTCAGGTGCAGAGGAGTGCTAGGTGTGGAGGGGCGTCAGCGGCAGAGGCGCGGAGCATCTGAGGCAGCACGGGCAGGTCAGGCAACGCATCAGGAGTGGGTTCAGTCATGGCGTGTCAAGGTTTGTTGAACACCAAGCAATTTGGTGGGAGATGGATCGATTCTGAAGATTGGGGGTTGCAAGTATAGTGGGTATTGAGGTCCAATTTCAATTCCGAGTTCTTAACCATTGAAATGGCTGCATTTAGAGCTAGACAATACTAATTCCAAATTCTGAGGATGAATATCTCCATCCAAACGGGGTAACATTGATTTAGTTTCCTCTCTTTTCAGTCAGTTTTTGTTTCTGACTGCAGTCCTCTTTTTTATTATTATTATAATTTCTTTTTTATTGTCTGCCATCCTCGCAAACTAACAGAGTAATCTAGTATGTTGACAGTGTCTTGTCGTGGTTGAGATATAAAATCATTTGGAATTGGAAACAAATTACTCGGTTGCCATACAGATACTCCCAAAAGTATTTTTCCTTCAACGACGAGAAGAGAGATTTTTTTGATGTTTTTTTTTTGAGAAGATTTTTTATGTTGAGAATAGATTTTTTTTTTGAAACGGAGAAGAGAGATTTTTGCTTCAATGCAAATAGTTAGCAGCGCCCATCGTAATGGTGTTTTAGCCCGACCTATAACAGCGAAGTTTTCGGCCGGCCCATTCTTGTAAGCACATCGTTTAAATGGCCCTAGACATGTTTTAACCCCGCCTATAACATATTAAGAGTAGCTCTAATCATTGGCTTTTAAGCTAACTCTAAACATTTTTCTTATATTTTAATAGAAGAGAGATATAAGCTAGCTTCTAATCAAGAACTAAGCTCTTGCACATATTTCAACGTGATGTGAAAATGTTACGTGGGGCTATATATGTTAAAAGTTATATGCTAAAAGTTAGCACAGAAGAAAAAATTAGCTTTAAACTTAGCTCTAACTCTTGTGGGTGCCAGCAGCGATGCTTGAAGCCAGCGGACGGCCCATTCTTCGAAGCCTATATATATATCGATTAAAGGACCCATCTAGACGAGATCCGCAAGAGAACGAGATTCACGATCGAAATCGGCCCATCTCTTCTCGCAGATAATCGGCGATCTGCTGCCGCCGCCCTATCACCGGCGACGAGCGAACCGTATCTGCCTACCCACATCTGCCGCCTTTTCCAATTACCACACACGATCCTGCCGGCGGTAGAAAGTGCAGTAGAATCACTTCTCGGATTCACCCGCACCGGATGACTCCGTAAATAGATTCAGACAAATAAATAAATGATGCTCCTTATTACTTCTTCCTTGCGCCATTTTGTTCCGTTGCTCAAGTTGTGCGTGCTCGCGGACGAGTGATGATTGTGTTTGCGGTGTGGGGGCGCTCTCCGCGCGGTGGCTGGGATCGGATCCGTTCAAACAGGCAATGCAATCAGGTGGTTTCGCAGAGCTGCCATACTGATGCAGATTTCTGCGTCGACCTGGCTCCTTCTTGCGCGCGCCCCGGGCTGGTCCCGCCTCCGGTCAGTCTCGTCTCGTGGCAAGCGTTAATTAACATGTTGCTGACTTCGTGCTCGATCCGTCGGTCGGCCTGCCCAGTGGGCACATGGATGGACGGTTCATGCTTGGGCCTGCTGTAGCTATGGCAGAGATTTTGCGTTATGTACTGATTTTGAACTAACAAAACTGCAATATCCATATGAGCTCACTTTATGCAAAGGTCTTGTTTTTTTTTCAATATAACATTAACATATTGTTCCTCTGTGAATGCTCAGCGTGTGGAAACTGCAGTATCGAAGGCTCTGGCATTGCCCAAACAACAAGGACCAACTTGATAGGCGTTATCACGTCAATTTCATCGAAACAAACACCAAAACTCTACTCCACGTTTTCCAGCTCCGTTCCACGTTTTTTAGCCAAACGGTTTCAGCTACATGCACTCTGTTCGAGGATAAAGGATGGAGTTGTGAGAGGTGCTCCGCAAACTCCAGTTTTTTATGGAGCTACTTCACGGTGGAGTTTGTGGAGCAATTCCAAACACCCCTATAGTATCTCATAAGGTCTTTCCTATGTCACTGCTACTCAGCGAAATCAGATCTTTTCTTTATCAACAGGAGTCATCTACCCCAAGTTGGTGAAGCAATCAGGTGTTCTTCATCTACATCAGCATTTTTACATCAACATAGGCATCCTTGGCATCTACTCATTCTGGTCAGTACCTAAAGCATCTAATTACCACGCTAAGATGAGGAGTTAGTGATCATGATTAGACAAAGATCAAGATTATATGCATGTTTAGTTACATGTCTTTGCTAAGCTTAATTCGGCCGATCATTTCCTGTGCACACGTTGTGTTTGGTATCAAGCTGCCCTGGCATTCTTACCTTTTTGGCGGTTGGTCGAAACTGGGGGACAAAAACCATAATTTGGCCTTATTGGGCAATTTGGCTAACAAGGAACGACACAGTGTTTAATAAATGTCACCCGAAAACGGTTTTGCAGGTTTTATTCAAAGTCACATATTGGCTCCGGTTCTGGGCTCTATTGCACTGGTGGATGATGGCAAACATAGGATGCTTGAGGCGTGCCTGAGTGTTAGAATCTTGCGCCATGGAGTTCTCCGCATCCAATGGATGATCTTTTATTTTCCGTTTACAATAATATTGCGGAACTGTTGTAAGCGTTTAAAGTCAGTGTATTGGTTAAACTTTATGCCTCTTCTTTGAAGAGGTTGAAGCCGGAATTTTCCATTATAAAAAAAAAAAGAACCCTGTGCACACTGGTCAGTGGACCATACCAATGTCCTCCGTCTGCTACGCAAGTCTCACAGTGACTGCTGGATGGGCGTATTTTGGTTACAATTGTGCAAGAGAACAGCTGGTCAAGGTGATGTAATCTAGGAAGGACCTGTTTGGCGGGGCTCCTCCGAAAGAGTCAGAGCCGTTTTGGAGGAGCCATAAATTGTGGCTTCTCCAAAACAGCTCCGGCTCCTCTGTTTTTTATTGAAAAACGGCTCCTTCAGAAAAACGTTTGGCAGGGCTCCTCTGAAGGAGCCGGCCGCCCGGAGCCGGAGAGGAGCCCTGCCAAACAGGCCCGAAGTGTGGTTCTGTCAAATAGCTCCTCGACTCTTGGCTATGTGGGGAAAAGCACGGCCATGATGGGCATGATGCTTCTTGCATGTGCAGCACAGGAAATAAGGGCTACTGATTAGTGCAATATATAATACAGTTTGTTTCTCTTTTTTGTTCCCTCTGTTGTGGTTCCGATTGAACTTGGTGGTGCCCAGTGAGCAAATTGGATGGTTCTCTACCATGGGAAATTCAGCCATTTTAGTGCACTGACAAACTGATTGTTTTACTTGGCAGAGTGTAATGCTGGCGACTGGTGAGTAGTGACTGTTGGCCTCTTGATTTTGACTAATGGACATGCCAACAGAGTATAACATGCTTATGTTGGTGGTTAGTGTTTTGTCCCTATAAACTACTGCATTTTCAGTCTCATGGAGCTTGAATGCCACTTGTACAAGTGTAGTACTTAAGCAGCATACATATCCTTGCCATTTCTGCAGTTTAAGAGGCTTTCTCAAATGAACATTTAGCCTTCTGAATTGTCAAGGCTGATGATTGTCCTATTCCATTGCTTTGTGGCTGGGATATTTGATATTTTTGCACTGCACTTAGACAACCTACAATGTACTGAGTTTTTCATGTAAAAAGATGGTAGCACTATGCAATAGATTGGCACATCATCATCAAGCATGTAGCAGATAACTCCACTTGTGCTAAAGATCCCAGCTAGGGAAGGAAGGGCTGCTTAAGCACCACTGCCATACAGCACACGATGACCCAACTAAGTATATATACCCCTAGTTGATCTAGCTATCCCTCCAGAAGGACTCAGCAGCACATCATTAGGCATGCAATTCCATTAGGCCATTAGCTAAAACTAAGCAGACGTTCTCGGCATGCATCCAGAAGAGGTAAACCGGTAATGATAACTACAAACTCGTGACTAGAAGTCTAGAACATCAGTTTGCGACCCCTTCTTTGGTTTGCGACCTGGAGCGGCGTGGCATGAGTGCGCCCCTCCTGGATTGGCGTGGCGGCGTTGCCAGCTTGCCGCCGCCACATGCCGCCGCCACCATTCCCGTTGGCCTTGGCGTTGCCGTTGTTGTTGTTGTTGGCCGCTGCCGCCTTTTTGGCGATGCGCTGCTTGAGCTCGGTGAGCAGGGCCTGGTTCTCCTGGTTCAGCAGCAGCGCCTTCTTGCGCAGCCGCTCGTTCTCCTTCATGATGAAGCAGTTCTGCAGGTACAACTTCGCGTTCAGTCTGTCCATCCTCTCCTCGCCTTTGCCTGCCATGCCACAACAGGGAACGAAACGAGGTTAGTATAGTGGATAGCAGTCAGACATGGTTGCATACTTGCATCTCTGTGGGGGCCCCATGTTCCAGAGTTTCAGACATGTCAGTCGTGCAAATTGGAACAGAGTGCTAGCAGAGCAGCAGCAGTAGATACTGAAGCACGTCCATTCTGAAACTTCTATTCAATTAAAAAAAAAAAGACTGTAGAGAGTTTTCCTGATTCGCACATCATTACAGTTACACCATTGTTAATTAAACATACTCGATGGTAGTACAGCCTCCCACTAGAAAGAACATGCAACTTGCAAGATTGCCAAGGCAGCCCCTATAAACAAATCAAAGGCATTGGGGGCAGCAGATTGTGTAAAGCAGAAACGAACAAAAAGGGAAGGTACTAAGAGAGAAGGTGAGGCCCCATTTGGCACACATGGATCCTTGATTGTGCATGCATGCAATGCAAGAACCAAGCGCGCATCACCATGGAAAAAGGTGACGAGACTGAGAGCATCACCTCGTTGGACGAAGCCGCTCGCTGCCGGGGCAAGACGGAGGCTAAAGCAGCTCGCTCACTGGAGTAGCACGCAGAGGCCAGAGGGGGGCAGTGGAGATTGCTGGTGGGGGCAGCAGAGAGCTGAGAGGCTGGAGGCAGGCAGCTGGGATCGATGGCGAAGTCCACTGCCTTTCTGTGATCGATGAGCTTGTGTTGGATTGCTGGCACATCCGGGTGGGTGCGTGGTTTATAGGCGCGAGACCTCGATCTCGCCTGACCTCGCTGACGCGCGGGCCCGCGTGGTGACACTGGCGCGTCGCACGTACGAGGGGGTGGCTAGTAGCTAGTCTGCCACTCATGCCCGTTTGAACCTGCGCAGAGGGGCAGAGGGGATGCTATGATGCGGGGACACAACGGGCCAATCATGAGGCCGGGGTGCTGCCTGGCCTCACGTGATGCTGGCCGGCCGCGTCTAGACTTCCCCTTGTGCGCGCCACCGCATGCACGCTGACTGCACGGCCGGCCGTGTCTCGCCGTTGCCGGCCGGGCAGAAAACCGCACGTACAGAGATATTATGGTCCGAGTTATGTTGGTAGATTACCTTTTTCTGTGAGGATGCTAGTTGCTTTACTTATGGCACATCAGCACCCTACCTAGCTAGGTCGTGTTGGGCCGGGAAAGCTCGTGTAGCTCAACCACCGGCATGCAACATTTCACATAACATAACAGGGTACGATAACCTGGACGGACCATCATAGCTAAGCTAAGCTAAGCTAAGCTAGTGCAGTAGTGCTGGTTTGTCAAGAGGTGATCATGCATCCACCGGACACAAGTAAGTCTGCATGATCGATCTCGAGGTCCCCAACGTGCACTGCTTCTCGCCACTGTACTTCATCCTTCTATTGCACACTCACTCCTCTACTTTTACAGCGGGGAAGTGCAGTAACCGATGTTAATAGTCTAGAGCTTTTTATTTAGTGGTTTGACACTGGTGGTGGCCAAGCCAGAATCAGAATGGTTAGTGAGAAAGAGGTCCAGCTGGGTACGACGAGGGGAAGGGGGGGCTTCAAATGATGATGATGATGGGCCTCGGCCGGCCCAAGATTCGTAATGATGGCTCGCCTCCGGGTCCTCGCTCATCATCACGCGCCACACCTCTTCTCCTTTTTTTTTCTCATCAGTCTCTCTTTATTTACCGTCTCTCTTTTTCTCTCTCTCTCTCTCTCTTTTACAAATACAAGGGCGATGATTATCATCGCTTTACTGCGCCACCATCGGGTGATCATGATCTCCTCTCCCAGCAATTGAATGCCTCACGATTGAAGGCCCTTTCTTACCTGCTCTGTTTTTACTGCACGCCTGTCATCTCTCATATCTTTTTTGCTCTTCCTTCTTTACCCTTTTTCTTTTTGGCCTGGTTCGCCTCTTGCTTTTGCAGTGCACCTGCTGTTTCTGGAATTAAAGCATGTTTGGTTAGTTGCTAATTTTTTTTTGAAAGTTATACTCCTCCGTATCTATTTTATCCTAAGTCAAATAATTCTACGCTTGGCCAAGTTTATAGAGACAAAAAAAACACCAAATAGATATTACTATGATATGTTTGGTATCATAGATATTGTTTTTTAAATAAATTTGATTACACTCTCACATAGGATAAAATAGAATAACTTTTCTTTAGAGATGGAGGGACGCTGTCTCCCCACCCCTCCAAAAAAAATGCAACTCTTTTTTTTACGAGTTAAACAATTCTTAATTTGTCAGAATCTATGAAACATTAGCTTTATGATATCGAATTAGTATTATTAGATTAATCATAGAACATATTTATTATAATAAATCAGTTTGAGGCATAAACATAATTTATTGTTATAAACTTAGTCAAACTTTTGCACTGCTTGAACGATAAAGTATGGCTGATAACTTTCTAAGGTTTAAAATTTATCTAAAATGAAAATATTGGACACTTCCTCCTAATGCAGAAGTTAATCATGGGTGCATGCAAACAATAATTGTCAGATCTAGGAGTTATTCTCCGAGAAAGGAAAGTTGATGATGATGCATGCGTCTGTTGCTAGTGTCCTAAATCTATATGAAAATTTTTAGAAAGTTACCTATCTTAGGACGAAGGGAGTATATTATAAGTCATTACGAGTTTTCTAGATATTTAATTTTTATTATATATCTACTTATCTAGACATAATTCATATCAAGGTATGTAGCAAATGCTATATACTAAAACAAACAAAACGACTTATAATTTTGGGACGGAGGGGTAACAATTCAAGTTAGCCATAAAAATTGAGTTCGTGTAGCATATTCCCTCTGTCATGTAATATAGTATATTCTAGGAATTTTAAGATAAATTAAGAGAGAACATAAAAGACACATGTACTCTCAAATCAGACGCTTATCATCAACATGATTAATGATGATTAGTTGATAAATATAAAGTATTTAATGTAAAACTGATTTTTTTCTCTATAATGCATTATATTTGAGTACAAATTTTAATGCTAAAATGTACTATATTATAGAACAGAGAGAGTATAATGCTAACCATGTGTGGTGTGAAAGAAATGCCCCCAGGCACTAAACTTGTTCGACTGCCCCTAGAGGCTAGACCGCTAGAGACACCAACATAGCTAAATCAGAAAGACAAAAAAAGAACTTGTTTTCTACTCTTTCTGAATTCCACGGCGACAGACAGAGAAAGTTAAATGTGCGCTTAAGGGCATGTGTCCCTACGCACTGCGTCGTTAGATTCGCATTGAGATGTGTGCACGCATACTTTCTCAATACGAATCTGCATTAAGATGTGTGCGTGCACACTTTTCAATGCGATTCTAATAAAGGGTGTGCTGGGAGCACATGCCCTTAAGGGCAAAAAAAAAAAAACGGCATTGGTTTCTGTTTCAAAAAATAGAAAGTGTTCAGCCACTCTGCATCTTTAGTGCACTTAGGATATCTTCGTTATTCGTCGCAAAAAAGAGGATATCTTACGTTATTACATCATCATAAACGCATTGTCCATGGTTTGAACTTTGAAGTAAATCTGTGATATAAATAAACAACAAGCCATTGGCGTCAAAACAAAAGCCTGTTACTAAATCACACGATCTAGCCTCTTTGGGAGGCCATAAACGATCGTGAATTATTTACTGCTGGCTGATTTGGTGTGAGAGAAAACACTGTTCCTGGCTGGAAATTTACGATCGTTTACGAGTAAGCGAACAGGCTACTTACAATGGCATGTTCAAGGAAACATTAGCACCAAACGGTAGCCAATAAATGGTCAAAATCTGTTTGTTCAAATGTTGCAGTGTGTCCCATTAACTAGGCTACCATCACTTGAGAGTCGAGACACGTTTTCATCTAGTATACCCCCAGTCTTTTCGTTGACATGCAGTATTGGAGTCTAGTCCTACATCTACATGCCATTGACGATATCACTGAAAAGTGCACGTTAAGCAGATTTTGAGCGCAGTTATGCAATACAGGATTGCAATAGATAGACCGGAGTAGCAGACGATGCATCCATGTGAAAGGGGAAAAAATGACGAAAAATCTAACCAAATCTTTTTCCAAGCCACTAGGAGAATTATGATTGTACTGATTTTTTTTTTTTTTTGAAACGCGGTTGTACTGATTGAACTCCCCTGCAGCAATGCTAATATTAGGCACAGGATGACAGGACCAAGAATGATTCATGTGACGGTTCATGTGACAGAGTGTAGTCGCTCGCCAGCGGTCCAATCCTTTGCCATAACCATCGTCTTCCACATGGAGCTGCATCGTATCAGGTTCCTCTCCTTGCTCGCAGGCATCGTCGGCCGGTGCTGGCCATGGAGACAGGCAATTGAAGATGCATGCAAGGGGGGCAATGCAAGTGCACGGCCACGATAGCCAATTGAAAGCTCGCCTTCGTTTCCGCCCCCTCAAGTTATTGCACACACTCGAAAGCTTCATCGATGCCGCTGCCCTCCATGATCCATCGGGGTCGGGGGCTACTCCAACTCATGTACATGTGCTAACACTGTGGCACACTGGATCGCATGCATGGTAAAAGGAAAAGAAATACACTAACTCGATTTGGCTAAGGTTGGACGTCTCCTGTGCTACTATACCTAAGACCTACTCACTCCGTCGAGAAAAGAATGCAATTACGAGATCCGTGCCGGTCAAATAGCTCAAGTTTGGCTAAGTTTATAGTAAATAGTATTAATATTTATGTCTCTAAATAAATTTATTATAAAAATATATTCTATGACTAATCTAAATTTGTATAGAAATGTTAGTATTTTTTTATATAAATTTGGTTAAAATTCAAATTGATTGACTTCTCAAAAAATGAGAATTGTATTCTTTTATTGACGGAGGGAGTATAAGCTAAGCAGAGACCTCTTTTTTTTTTGAGGAAAAAGAAACTGTCTAGGATGTGTGGCAGCAAGCATATACTACAATGCAATGTACCGTAGTATAGAGTATTGTAAATGTTGGTTGCTGACACTG